AGTCATATCAAATACTCCGTCCCCCTTTTCTAAAATACAAAATGGCAATATTCAGCCCATTAAACTATGGTGAAAAGAAATTGGAACCTTTTCTTCACCCAACCCTGATTTCTCCAACAAAATAAATTTTGCATTTTTCTTTTATTTTGTTTGTCACAATTTTTTTTCGGGGGGGGGGGGGGGGGGGGGGCAATTCAACCCCCTTTCCTTTTTCAAAAACGATACTAAACTAGTGCCCGTATAAGGTTTCATTAGAGGATTAGTGCTTTGAAGGGAAAAAAAAAACATAGAAAGTATTTTTTGTAATTATTTCTAAAACGCTCGTCGAAATCAAAATCTGATACATGTGTATATAGAAAGGAGTATCCTGGTGCATTCTTCTTGTGTATTTTTTTTTCAAAATCGATTTTGGTCTAAATCAAAAGTATTGTATTTCCTTGCAGATTTTAAATGCTCCTAGTGCAACAAATACGTTGGAATTATTGCTGATCAAATATGATCCCATTGCTCTTGTTTTGTGAGCTGGCTGACAACGCTCTAACAACGCCGTGAAAGCGCATTGTGATCGCCAACGGACGCTGTAGAAACGCCATGGGAGCGCAATGATCGCAGTGACAACTCCGTGCCGTCGCCGTGTAATCGCAATCGAAACCAGAAGTCTCTGTCGAGACTGAAGCTCTACTGGTTTGTACTTATAGCAAAGGAAGAGGAAAGTACTTAAGCAGTTGGGAATTGAAAATTTACACATGCAAAAAAGAGAATAATGATCCTTGGATAAGTCTCTTTATGTTCTTAGTGTAGTCTACTTGCAAGCCACATTATATTATAATCAGACTAGAACTGTATTTGAAGTAGCAAACTTGAGAGTAACAGAAATTGCTATCTTTATTAACCAAGGTAATAATGTTCATTGAAGTCAAAAACGGATATAAACAATTATGTACCTTAGTGTAGTCTACTTGAGTGCCAAGTTATATTGAAATCATACCAAAACTGTAGGAGGAATAGCATTTTGAAAGAATTTCACAGAAATTTCTATTTTTAGTAACAACGCCAACACCGTTCGTTGAAATCAAAAACCGATACACAGAATTATGCATCTTAGTGTAGTCTACTTGTGTGCCAAGTTATATTGAAGTCAGACCAAAACTGTAGGAGGAGTAGCATTTTGAAAGAATTTCACAGAAATTTCTATTTTTAGTAACAACGCCAACATCGTTCGTCGAAATCAAAAACCGATACACAGAATTATGTATCTTAGTGTAGTCTACTTGTGTGCCAAGTTATATTGAAGTCAGACCAAAACTGTAGGAGGAGTAGCATTTTGAAAGAATTTCACAGAAATTTCTATTTTTAGTAACAACGCCAACATCGTTCGTCGAAATCAAAAACCGATATACAGAATTATGTATCTTAGTGTAGCCTACTTGTTTGCCAAGTTATATTGAAATCATACCAAAACTGTAGGAGGAGTAGCATTTTGAAAGAATTTCACAGAAATTTCTATTTTTAGTAACAACGCCAACACCGTTCGTTGAAATCAAAAACCGATAAACAGAATTATGTATCTTAGTGTAGTCTACTTGTGTGCCAAGTTATATTGAAGTCAGATCAAAAATGTAGGAGGAGTAGCATTTTGAAAGAATTTCACAGAAATTTCTATTTTTAGTAACAACGCCAACACCGTTCGTCGAAATCAAAAACCGATACACAGAATTATGTATCTTAGTGTAATCTACTAGTGTGCCAAGTTAAATTGAAATCAGACTAAATTTGTAGGAGGAGTAGCATTTTGAAAGAATTTCACAGAAATTTCTATTTTTAGTAACAACGCCAACACTGTTCGTTGAAATCAAAAACTGATACACAGAATTATGTATCTTAGTGTAGTCTACTTGTGTGCCAAGTTATATTGAAGTCAGACCAAAACTGTAGGAGGAGTAGCATTTTGAAAAATTGTTTACAGACAGACAGACGGACAGACGGACGGACGCCGGACGCATTACTATCGCATAAGCTCTTCTGGTCTCTGACCAGTAGAGCTAAAAATCACAAGACTATAAATCTCATTAGAAGCGCCGTAAAACGCGATAGAATCGCAGTGACATCTCCAAGGACTCCGCGACATCTCCGTGAGGTCTCCGTGGAAGCGCAGTCTACTATCACTGCGTTCGTGCCGCGATCATGTGCGTCTTCACGGCGTTGGTACGGAGATCCCACTACGTTGTTGGAGATCTCGCCGCGCTGCTACGGCGATCATACTACGTTTCTACTGCGTTCTTATCAGACCGCGATCACACGGCGCGTACTTTGTGCATGCCCAAAGTGATCGCCATCCCCTGGCGTTCTAGGAGACCCTACGCGTTCAGTGGAGATCTCGCCGCGTTGTCACGGCGCTGTAGGAGACTCTACTGCGATCACCTCAGCGTTTTGCATTTTTTGAGGACGCCGTGCAGTGGGTGTTGCTAAAACGCGGAACGGAACGGAAAACGGAAAATTTTTTGTCAAACAAATAACAAAGATTCAATATAAATCAGATAAAAGAGCAATATTCTTGTTGTAAAAGTCATTTCTAATAAAAATTAATTGTAAACTATTATATATTCATGAGTCATACACACCCTCCGTGGAAAAAATGCTACCGAAAGAAATCCCCCCCCACACACACACACGCGAAATAGGATTTTCGTGTTTGGGCAAAGGACATATCCCCCTTTTTTTTGCTTGTCAAATTTGTTGTATGTTGGAAATTTTTTTCTGACCCCCACCCCCTCTTTCAATTTGTTTCCAATGTCAATGTCTGAATTTGAAAAGACAAAAATAACTAGTTATGCTATTCAGATTATGCACGCAGTGTCGAATTCGCGAGTCATGAAAGGGGGGTGGCAGTTTCGGGTCTGTGTAGGGGCCCACAGCCACATTAAAAATTGATTTATTAAACCTTACGTACATTTTGGACACAAAAAGGAGGGCAGATCTATTACAACTTCTACGACATTTCCGATGAGCGGGAAAACAAACTCATTTTTACGGGGTCATTCATATACGCCTCCTCCCCCGGGTCCCCCCCCCCCAACATGCACACATATGTGGCGCAAACAAACAAAATTTAACTTCAATGAATGCAAAGATTCTGCAGTCTGCATTATATCTACCACAACTTTGTCTATCCACAAAAGGACTCTATTTTTGAATAAAATTTTAACAACCAGTATGTATAAGAGATGTTTATTCGAGCTTGCCGTAAAGGTTTGCCCTAAACGTAATCTTAATAATTTTTTTAAACATTTTTTTTCCCTTTCCATGGTTCATTTAGATATCAAATATTTGCCCCCCCCCCAAGTCATAACCTTTTTACTACGGAAATGTTCGTTCAAGTTCACATTCTCACCCTTTTTGTGAATATAATAAATGTAGTAAGTTAGTGTAAAAAATAGTACTGAAAGATGTTGGGAGTTGGAACTTATCCCCCCTCCCGAATCAAACAATTGTCTTCTTTTTGTGTTTTTTGCTTGACAAATACTTTTCAAGTTCGTTTACCCCCCCCCCCCCCCTTTTCAAATTCGATTCTATGTGACTGCTATGTCAGCGCCTTTTGTAAATAAGAGACTGAGCATGATAACATCAACTTGTATTTAATAGTGGGGGATTGAATGTGTACAAGATATATCGTTAATGATAAAATTTGTGTATTTTAAGTGATTTAATCCAAAATAATATATTCCGTTTTCCGTTCCGTTCCGCTTTCCGTTCCGTTTTCCGTTCCGCGTTTTAGCAACACCCCCGTGCAGTCGCCGTGAGGACGCAGCCCCGGTGTGACGGGGGTTTTACAGAGCAATGAACCCATAGTGTATCAACCCTCTTTTCGTCCTTAACTCATATATTATAGTCAGAATCTTGACCAGTGCCAAGAGTATACGGTCTATCCTTTGAAAAAGACAAATTCCATATTTAACCGTCAGGAAATCCTTTCTTAAATACATGTAACTTTAGCACAAAATTATATTTCTGTATTTTGGATAGCTATCATAATGGGACTGAAAAGTTGGCTAGAAATGTTAAATCAGTTCGACTTTTACGTAACAGTTAAAATACTAACAACGGAAGCGATTACACGTTTCCAAAACTCACTTGGCAACTGCCAATATAGTATTGAGCACAGAATAAGTCAAAGGTTTAAGGATGTTCAGACTCAAGCAAGTTTTATTTAAGTACCTTATTCCACCATTTTTCCAAAGGTATAAAATCATCTTGGGATTTCTGGAGGAATCTAATCAGGTGGTGACATTCTCCATTACAAGTAAATTTTAAAGAGTGACAAAAAAACCAACTTTAATATTGGAATATGTACATTTTTATTAAGTAAAGTTATTAAACAGTCGTACATTGTACATTTATTTAGACTTTTAACAGTTTTCATTTTCTTTCACTCTTTTACAATCAAGACAATTAAAATAATTAACAGACTTTAATGGCAAGCAGTTAACACTGGCCTTGTTCATATATGCGAGTGCGTAATAAAAAATTTGTTGAAATTAAATTTTAAAATTATTTACAAAATAATTAATATCAGAGGTCTGGAAGTTCTTCACAAAGAAGATGGGCAAACAAGAAAGACAAAAGGCCTTTATATCTTTTAATTCAATTTTAAAACCAATAGAAAAAGTACTACATAGAGCTTAGAATAACAAAATGGCACATACCAACCCATCATATTAAGGGTACATTGATAAGTCTTTTTTCTCAATCACATTGTTTATATACATGTATTTAAACACAAAAAATTGGTTTTAATAATAATGAATCAGAATATATCAATGTTATACAACTCTAAAACACACCATAAAGTACATGTACTGATCATATCCAAGATTGCGTACTGCAAGGTCAAAGAACTGGGTTTATATGGAATATTGATAACAGAAATATTCAAACATAAGTATCTTTGAAATCAAATTTGTAAAAATATTTCCATATATCACCATAATGGCTGCATCATTGCGTAGCAATTTCATATGACACAAATGAGAAATGCGTAATTAACACCTTTAGAAACACTGATGGCAAGATAAGGACTTATGCATAAAAAATAATATAATGTTGACAAGAGCAGTATTTACACGCCTTTACACAAATTTTCCTGCTTCTATACATTGCCTCTAATAATTAACATTTGGTACAGCTTATATGTACAACATATTAAAAGCTAAAATATGTCCAGAAAATAAACAATGAATAAATGGTGTTGAAATAAATGATGGGCCATAGACATATCTTGACTAACCTTAAGTAAATTAAGTAAATTAGGGAGAGGGCGTAATAAGTTTTTAGAACTTTTGCCCAATCCCAATTGTAAAGTATTAGCAATAAAATATGTTCAAATCAAATCAAGTAAATTATGATTTCTATGATGAAGTGGCATGTCTTCTTTAGAATAACATATATGTACACAACAACTTGATTCAAATGACTGTGAGGAATTGATGATGACAATAAACTCAATGAAGTACATGTCTATTTCGAATTCCAATGAGGGTGAAGGTAACAATATAATAAACTCATTTACATGTATGTACAAGTAAACTGTAAATCAATCTATTTCTAGTTTTTTTTCTTTGGTTTCCATTGCACCGGCATCTTCTTCATAATAAAGAACAACCTTCGAGATCACTTTGTGTCCATCTATATTTCTTCTTCAAAGCTTTCCCCCCTTTCGTGCTCATCTGTCCCTTACACACTTGCATCTGATGGATTTCCTCCCAGTATGTATGTATTTATGAAATAAATAATCATTCTGGCATGGCCCGGAAGGAAAACATAACTTGTATACATGAACATCGCCAGCACAATAATCAACAAGCAATCTGAAGTATCAATTAAGGATCACTCTTTTGCTGAAAATATCTACGTGTGTAAATACAACTAACACACAACGTCATGTGACGTCAGTGTTTAGACACACCATATGTCACATGCAATTTGACGAGCCTGATCTAAATTAAAACTGAATAAGTATCTGCACTTACCCTAACGGTCGCACTGTCAACAAATTATTCAATATTAAATTATTACTATTTCATATGTAGCAAGAGATCAACGCAATTAACTTACCATGTAGTTACCCCTTTTTAAAACAGTAATGGTCAGTAAACACAGTACCTGTGTTTCTTTTGTTCTATTTCTTGCCATATTAATTTATTATTTGTTGATTTAGAACAGTTTATAATTGTTTAGATACGTATCATATTTTTCAATAACTTGAAAAAAAAAATCCTTGGAACGAAAAATAAAATAATATAACATCCGATCTCTCCCCGAGAAAACACCCTTTTATGTATATTGTGGTGTTTTTCGATCTAGTGCTTTTATTCAAAACTGAAATAAACTAAAAGTTCCTTATGGTTTTACAAATATCTGTCAGTCTACAGCCAGTACAGGCGAAAAAAAAGGATACTAAAGACTCTTCTTTCCAGGGGCTCCAACATGTATACAGATGTTGCCAAAAGATATTGTAGATACCAGTAGGATATAAAGTTTTTCACTCTATTGAATACCATCTTGAGCCTTGTAATTGTTCCTTTTTTCAGAAAAATAAATCCAGTCAAACGACGTCAAATCAAATAACCGGAACATCAAACAGAAGAGTAATTACAAAACCAATAACGATACAAAAGGCTAGTTCCGGCTTTGTGCAGTAAAAATCGCCGGGCACCGGTTCCGGCCCCTGTCTAAGAGGCGCATTTTTTCCATGTATTGCCATTTAGTAATATAAATTTTATCGTATATTCAGTTTCAATCGAACAGTCTGATTGATTAGGCCTTGGTGAATAGGTAATAAAACCTAGTATTTGAGTAACCTGTGCTATTCCTTTTTCACCTACTTATTCCATTGGAACGTGATAAATCTGTTAAGTTGTCCATAAGCAAATTCAGACTGCCCTAGTTTGTTACAGTTTAAAAATATTCTAAAACATCATTTGTTATGGAGCCCTGTGAAAATATATAAATTGTTTTGCTATATTTGTCAATACTTATCATACCTTTTTAGATATTGTTTTTTTACTGCCAAAACCATGAAAACATGGCTGAAATATTGACAAGTGGGTGTAAAACATCATAATCAATCAATCAATGTGATATTTTTATTTATGTACATTTACTCTCTGTATGTAGTAAATTAGCAGTTGTTATTTTATATTTAAATTGGGTACTTATGTGCGGATCTAGAAGGGGGGGGGGGGTCAAGACCCCTCTGGAATTGGCAGAGTTATTAAATGTATACACTAAATCAATTAAAACTGACCTTGGACCCCTCCCCCTTCAAAATGCAGAACCCCTCTATAAAAACAGTACCTCTTCCCCCGGAGGAGACGTATAAACCGATACCCTGTGTCGCAGTAGGTGCTGGAACGAAAAAGATCCCTCACTGCTCAATGGCCCTCAGTGCCAAGTTAAGGACAAAATTTGCAGCTCTCCTCCGGCAAGTGATGGACTCTCCATATGTGTGAACAATTCTCAAGAGGGATCTTTAACAACATACAATCAATCAATTCTGCATCTGACAAGCTCTTTAAAATATTAATGGTTTTATAAAAAGTTACTTTCAATCGAAATTAATTCATTGAACATAGAAAACATTTTTTCACAATCTTTTGCCCCAAAAAATTTTCATAATACAAAAAGTTTTTTTTTTCATCCTTTGGCAGTTTTTGTATTTTGTCAGTTGAGGTGCTCTCCTCTGCTGATGTTAGATGATAAGTTTTTTCTCCATTGGAAAGTGTTTGTATTTTGTCAGTAAGGAGATGGTGGCTGAGGGCATCATAGACAAAGCAGTGTTGAGGCAGTGTTGAGGTGCGCTACCCTGCTGATGTCAGATGAAGTTTTTCGTCCATTAGACAGTGTTTGTATTTTGTCAGTAGGGGAGGTGGTGGCAGAGGGCATCACTATAGACAAAGCAGTGTTGAGGTGCGCTACCCTGATGATGTCAGATGATAAGTTTTTTTTCTCCAGTGAGCAGTGATTGTAATTAGTCAGAAGTGAGTAGGTGGTTGACGGTTTCATTATACAAAAGGCTGTGTTGAGGTGCTCTACCCTGATGATAAGTTTTTTCTCCTGTGGACAGAATTTGTATTTTGTCAGTAGTGAAGCACAGGTACTTGTGGACAGGAACACCCCCCTTCCCCGAATATACATCCCTGGTCAAAATATTTTGTATAAAAAAAATTCTCATGAATTATTCTTCTAGTACTTATTCACAATGTAATCCATATGAAAAATCCAAAAACTAACATAGATTTAACTTTAAAAAGTCATACCCATGGTACCATTAAATCACAGGAGTTCGCGTACCTATCAATTTTCAATAAATAAAAAAAATATGTAATACCTATAATAACTAGAACTGTCCAAACGGGACAAAATACCCCCCGCATGTTTTTTTAGAGGTACTAAATCATGAATATTTTATGGATCTAAGAGAAGAGAGAAATGCTAAAAAAAATTTTAGTGCAAATATAGTTGCTCATTATATTTTTTTTATAAATGAAACAAGGCGCATCCTAATAAAAAAAATAGACTAAATATACAGACCAGACACAAATTATTAACTTTTTCTGTCAGTGACCTTGAACTTGCATGAATGACTTTGGTACAAAGTCATGACACAACCTCAGGTTATAAGCAGTGTTTTTGTGAAGTAGTAGATTCAAGTTTTTCCATAATAAAGATATGTACCAAACATGAATTATACAATTTTTCTTTCAGTGACCTTGAACTTGCACAAATGACCATGGGTCAAGTTCAAGACACACCCTTAGGTCATGAGGAATCTTTGTGTAAAATGAGAACCTACCAAGTTTATCCATAAGAAAGATATGGACCGGACACGAATTATAAAATTTTTCTTCCAGTGACCTTGAACTTCCCCAAATGACCTTGGGTCAAGGTCATGTCACACACCCTTAAGTCATGGGCAATCTTTGCGTGAAATGAGAACGTACCAAGTTTATCCATAAGAAAGATATGGACCGGACATGAATTATGAGATTTTTCTTCCAGTGACCTTGAACTTCCCCAAATGACCTTGGATCAAGGTCATGACACACCCTTAGGTCATGGGCAATCTTTGTGTGGTGTAGTAGATTCTAAAGTTCCTCTGTAAGAAAGATATGGACCGAACAAGTTTACACAGACAGAGACAGACGGACAAGCTGATTCCTATATACCCCCCAAAATTCGTTTTCGGGGGGTATAATAACATATAAGATAGCAATAGCAAGGTCACCTCAGTTATAGGGTGACCAAACATCACAAAAACTTCTCCTCTGCTTTTAAAGGTGCATAGATGTTAATATTTTCTAAAATTTTCTGTATAATTTTGTTTGTCGCTATAGTACCCGATATTTCATACGAAAATATAATAAAAATCTTATTTTTTTCTGGAAGTTATTGAAACTTTGAATCTCTAGATGTGTTTGATTGACGCTTCCTTACACTTTCACAATTTTTAACTTTATCCTCCATGCTTAAAAAAGTAGCAATTTTGTTGTGTATCAATAATAAAACTAGTGCTAATTGTAACGGGAACCGTTACAGATGTTCCCCAAACGCTCCCCAACTCCCTTTCGGTGCCATATTCCCTGTAAGCTTCATTAAATAAGACAAACTCTGTGCATTTTTGACTTTAACAATGTTTTCCCAGAAGGATACCAATTATATTCAATTTTTAGCATTGCACCCAAGTGCATGTGAATGCATGTGCGTTATGACCATATCATTTTATCTACACTATTTACATATTTTAATATACTATATATTAAAGCATTCAGTCCAAAAGTAATAAAAATCACTCATTCAAGAGTATTTTTAAATACACTCGTTTCAAATGCACGCACGTGCGTGCACGTGCATGATGATCATACCTTCTTGTAGGAGTCCCTTACATCTATCTATGTTCTAAATCCCATCCTGTTTGGTTGAAAAACAAGGGAGTTGTAGCCATTTAAAGTTTCAGCCAATCAGATTGCAGCACACGTGCATGCGCGTAATTTCATGATTTTTTTTATATCATTTTGTAGGATATCCTAATGCATGACTATATTTTAAATTTCAAAGAATTTCGTCAAAAAACAAAGGAGAAATAGCCATTTCAAGTTTCAGCCAATCAGATTGCAGCACACGTGCATGTGCGTAATTTCATGATTTTTTTTCTATATCATTTTGTAGGATATCCTAATGCATGACTATATTTTAAATTTCAAAGAATTTCGTTCAAAATCAAAGGAGATATTGCCATTTAAAGTTTCAGCCAATCAGCTTGCAGCACGCGCACATGTGCATGCTTTCTTGACAATTCTTATATATATCATGCGGTAGATCTTCATAATGTAGGACTATGTTCAAAATTTCAAAGGATTATGACAAGAAACAAGAAAGTTATTGAGACTTTAGTTTCAGCCAATCAGAGCGAAGTGCACGTGCATGCGCGTGAGATCTTGCTATTTTGACCATGCTATCTTGTCTATACTACTAATGTATCCTTACATTATGAGTTTCAAAAAATTTCATCAAAAAATAGAAAAGTTACGGCAATATCCATTATATTGGTAATTTCACCTGTTGCACGTGCGCGCTCTTGCAAGCACGTGCGCGCAAAATGACCTTTGTTTGGCAACTCTACATAACATGCCTACTGACCCTAAAAAGGTTTCACCTAAGTCGGATGTGTAGTTTACAAGATCACTCGTGGACAAAATTTTCCCAGGAAGAAGAAAAATAATAAGAACTAGATGCGTTCTTGTTGCTGGTGCAACAAGCAGGTCTTCCGACCGACTTCTCTTTTGCAATCTAGTTAGCGTCATCCTATGAAATAGATTCCATAATGTATTTTTTTCGTTTACGTTCATTTACAGTAGTTTCTCAACGCAGATCGTGATTGTTCCAGGTATTTCACGAAATATCTCCAAATACAGCTTTTAAAAATCGGCAAAATTTTCCACACATGTTATAAAAGAGTGAAAAGTAATTTGCAACTGAAAAAAGACAAAAACAAAGAAAAAATTTGGGGAACGCCCCGAGCGGGATTCGAACCCGCGACAGTAAGACAAAGTTTGGTTCTGTCATATCTTTGCAATAAACGCTCGCATGAAAAAAATGAAAACATATATAGATATCTTTGAAGACGCTCTATAAACCCTGTAAATCTGAAAGAAAAATATTGAAAAACAAAAAAGTTGAAAAATTAGACTTTTTGAATTCACTTCCGTTTGCGACCGGAAGTAGGAACGACAAAAAATGAAGGACGTTCGGCACATCTACATGTGATGCTCTTTCATGTCCATGAGTTTCAATGTCATATCTTTAGCCGTTTTCGAGAAAACTGGGGTACAAAAATCCATTTAAAAAATACAAATTTCCCAAAAAATCGCGAATGGAAGCAAATCTAGAAAAAATGAAAAACACGTCTGGAGATATTAATGTGATGCATCTTTCCTGTAAAAATCTTTGAAATCCGTACAGTCACAGCTGAGATATCGCCATAACTATGAAAAAAGAATAATAATAATAGGAAACCGACGGAAAACAATAAGGTCTTCCGAAGGAAGTCGGAAGACCTTAATAATAATAATAAGAAACAGAGTAAAAACAATATGTTCCCCAACTTCGTTTGGGGAACATAAATATTAAAACTATAATCCAGAAAATTCAGAGTAGAAATGTTCGAAAACCAAACCAACACATTAGTTTTGTTAGTCCGTACTCAGCAGTGTGTGCAGAGTTTAACAATTGAACACACCCGGTAAAACGTATACATTAGCAATAACAGAGCTCGTGCCCTGTTTACAAAAACTGTGTACGTTTCAGGGGTGTATTCAGTTTGTTAAACTCCGTACACAATATTGAGCACGGGCTGACATTCTTAAGAAACGGGTTTGCTTTCGCATATTTCTACTCTGAACTTTCTTGATTATAATTTTAATATTTTTCATCAATACGCAATAAAATTGCTACTTTTCGTAAGTATTTAGGATAAAGGTAAAATTTGTGAAAGTGTTAGGATGTGTCAATCAAACCCGTCTAGAAATTTGAAGTTTCAATAACTTTCAGAAAAATAAGATTTTTATTATATTTTCATATGAAATGCTATAGAAACAAATAAGTCATGACATTATACAGAAAATTTGAGAAAATATTAACATCAAATCTGAGTCTAAGCACCTTTAAGGGCTTGGAACCTTCTGCTTTATAGAAACATGCATATCCTAAAGGAAGCAATGTTTTTTTCAAGCAGGCAGCATTAAAAGTTTTGTGGGGTCAGTGTGGGAGGAAACCGGAGCACCCGGGGAAAACCCACGTGTCTGAGTGGGCGACCCCATACCCTCTTCTAAACTCAGACACCCATCACGTTGGTGGATGTGCTTGTATGTGCTTTATAGGACTGGCTTTCTGCTTTTTCATCTCTCTTTGTCTTTTTCCAAAGGAAGCGTCTCTTCAAAACCTTTATTATCTGTCAATGAATAAGGAAAAAGGTAACCATAAGGATTAATGAAGTAAAAATGAAGAACAGTCTTAAAAATAGCAACTTGGGTAAATTATTTCTCTACCTGAAGGCTCTTTGTCCTTCAAAATATCAAGCACATCCACATGACTTCATCTGAATCTCCTACTGGGTACCGTCACCAAATCATCAAAGTACACTATAAAATAGAAATTAGTACTTCAGCATTCATATTAATATAAAACAGGAATTAGGAAAATAACAGACATATCCCAGCAAAATATTATATAGCCCTAAGATGATATTCTTTTGCTGTATTCTTTCCAAAGAAAAAGGTGTTGGATTTCTGATTTACATTTCACATACCCGATCAGTGACATTGATCCACTGTAATAAGTCTTGTTGTCGGGAAGGTTAACTTCCATCAGTCTTTACAGAGCTCTTCATTTTCACATTTTTGGGGTTAAGGTACATCAGCAATGCAATTTCCTGATTATTCCACAAATTTCTGTCTAGCTGTCTCTACTCTTTCTCACGTCTTGAAGGCACAACATTCGTCAGTCTTTAAAATAGCATTTCCACAAATTCCTGTCGGGTTGTTGCTGCTCATTTCCACAAAGTGAAGGGTCATTGTTAATCAGTCTTGGCTTTTCCAGCTTTTTCCATAAATTCCTGTTTTGCTGTAGCTTTTCATTCCACATCCTGGAGGGTTAAGGTCCATCAGTATTGAATTATCCAGATGATTCCACTAATTCCAGTGAGATTAATATTGCAAATGCTCTTTTCCACAATGTTGAAGAAAAACTTTGCCAACAGCCTCCTCCTCAAGCAGTCTGTGTCAATTTTTTATCACTGTGATTTCAGGAAAGAGTTGAAAGAAGTATTGTTACCGACTCCTTCAGTTTCTGTAAAAGAACGAACAAAAGGTAATAACCAGGTCCAATGAAATTAAAATGGAAACCAAGAGTCAAAAAAAGGCATATTATTGGTAACTTTCACATACCTGAGGGCTCCTTGTCATACATAATGTCAAGCACATCCATATGACTTCATCTGAGTTTCCTACTGGGTACTGTCACCAAATCATCAAAAAACACTAAAAAAAAAATAGAAGTTTATATACTTAGCGTCTATCAGTATAAAACAGAAATTAAGAAAAGTTTAAATATAATATTATATTATATAGCTATAAGATGATAATGTTTTGCTGTAATTTAAAAAAAAAGATTTTAATTCATTAAGGACAGATGATACAAACAAAAAATGGATGCCTGGATTGGTATATATTTTTTGGCCTTATTTCATTGCAAATGTTGCAAATAATGAATTTCTAGAATATAAAGAGATTGTAAACCTTCTGTGATGTACAAAATGCTGCCCTTCTGAAACCATCCTTATTATTCTGTACAAATATTTTTTTACTTCAAATTCGATTTTTGTGAAAATTTGAATAAAGAATTGAAAACTATGCGGTGAAAGTTCTTCATTTTATTCATTTAAATATAACCCGATTTGTTATTTTCAAATTCTTTGACAAAAGTTTGTTTGTATCATCTGTCCTTAATTCTATTAAATACCTGATTAGTGACAGCTATCCACTGTGGTAGTTTTTGATGTTGGGAAGGTTATCATCCATCAGTGTTGTCTTTAACAGTTGTTTCAACCAATTTCTGGTTGTACCTGCTCATTTTCATATCTTGAAGGGTCAACATTCATCATTCTTGTATTTCCAGGTTTTTCCCACCAATTCCTGTCTGGCTGTAGATGCTCCTTTTGAGTGTCAGACTTCCATCAGCATTGCATTTTTAGTTGTTTCCACCAAAAACTGCAGGTTGCAAAAGCTCTTTTACACATTGTTTAAGAAAAACTTCATCAACACCATCCTCTGAAGTCTCCTCTTCATCCAGTATGATGCAAGTGTCTTATCTTAAACAATATAATCTTACAATTTATATCTCACTGACATAAAAGCAAGTTAAGGGGGTCATTGTGGGAGGAAGCTGGGGTGTCTGGAGAGAAGAGACATATCTTAGTTAAATAATATATAGCTCTAAGATGACTTTCTTTCACTTTCCCTTTAAACAAAAAAGATTTTCGATAATTAATTTGTCACATACCTGACCAGTGACAGTTTTTCATTGTGATATGTCTTGCTGTTGGGAAGGTCAACATCCTCCAGTCTTGTCTTTTCCAGTTGTTTTCAACAATTCCTGTAAGGGTGTACAAAGCTGCTCATTTCCACATCTTGGAAGGTCAACCTCCTTCAGTCTTGTCTTTTCCAGCTGCTTCCTTCAATTCCTGTCTGACTGTACTGCTCCTTTCCACATCTTAGAGGGCGAAAGATCTATCAGCGTTGCATTCTTAGGTGTTTCCACTAAATAATGTAGGTTGCAAAATCTCTCTTTCATGTTGTTGAAGAAAACATCATCAACACCATCCTCTGAAGTCTCATTTTCAATCTGTCAGATGCAAGTATCTTATTATTAAAATATCATCCCACAATTGTCTCATTGGCATAAAAGAAAGAAACAAGAGGCCCATGGGCCTTATAGGTCACCTGAGCATCATGCAACAACTTTCCACTATTATTCCCAACAACCTATTATGTATTTTACATAATAAAATATGTTCAAATCAAATCAACAACTTTCAAATGATTGAATTTGGTTCATGTTTTAAGCTAGATGCTATGGCATTCACAATTTTGAAAAGAGGCACATTGTTAATCATAACTATACACTTAACAATTGTTTAGTTTGTTTACTTAATACCCATAAGCAGGGTAGGGGAACAAAAAATGCATTTCAACTAATCAGTAATATTCAGCAATAATCAGAAGTGCCCCTACCACACATGAACCCCTGACCCTAGGTCTACACATTGCACAATTTTTTGAAAAGGCAAACTTGCTTATCAAAATGTTTGATTAATACCAAGGAGCAGATTTCAAACAATTCATTTTCAGTATATAAGACCCCCCCCCCCCTTTTTGTATCCCTGACCAAGAGACCTTGAAATTCACAATTCTGGAAGAAGAGCCCTTGCACATCATAACTGTATAGGTGGTTCATCTGCTTATTACCCAAGAGTAGAGAAAAAAGATTTTCATAGATGTAATGCATTTTCACTATATAATCATTATAGAGCCACACCCTAACATCATAACCCCTGATTCTGGGGCCATAAAATTCACAATTTTAGTAGAAGCACTCTTGCTCATCATAACTATGTACTTAGTCAGTTTATTTAACACCTAGGAGCAGAGAAGAAAGATTTCCATAGAAATAATGCATTTTCACTATATAATCAATAGAGCCCCGCCCTAACACCAGAACCCCTGACCCTGGGGCCATAAAATTCACAATTTTAGAAGAGGCACTCTTGCTTATCATAACTATTTCCTAAGTTGGTTTATTTAATACCCAGAAGTATTGAAGAAGATTTTCATAGAATTAATGCATTTTCACTATAAAATCATTATAGAGCCCCATGCTAATGCCAGATTTCCCCTGATCCTGGGCCATAAAATTCACAATTTTAGTAGAGGCACTCTTGCTCATCATAACTATGTATTTAATTAGTTAATTTAATACTTAGGAACAGAGAAGAAGATTTTCAAAGAATTCATGTATTTTCACTATATAATCAATACAGCCCCGCCCTAACACCAGAACCCCTGATCCTAGGGCCATAAAATTCAAAATTATGGTAGAGGCACTCTTGCTCATTATAACTATGTACTTAGTTAGTTTTATTTAATACTAAGAAGCAGAGAAGAAGATTTTCAAAGAAATAATGCATTTTCACTATATAATCAATAAAGCCTTCGCACTAGAACCCCTGACCCTGGGGTCATGAATTTCACAATTTTGGTAGAGGACTC